TTTATCATTGTACATTCAAAACACTTACATAATAACCAAACCTTTTACTTGAAAGCCATACCTGCAGCCGTCTGCATAGTACATATATCCTGCTATCACCCACCATAGTGCATATATATCCTGCTATCACCTCTTTTGCTTCTTAAAAATACTCCCTTCTCTTCACCATTGCCAATACCAGTCTTTTCTTTTTGACCTGACTCTTTAGGCCTTAATATTAGGTGGTGTAGCAATTTGCGAACTCTGCTTCCCAAAAACCAATCACTTGTGTAAAGGTTGAGTAGAATCAAAGAAACGGCTGATGTAACAACCTAAATTTTTTGGATAAATGTTCTCAAAATATCACATAAGGTGCACATTTAATGAAGTTGGTTGGGTGTATAAGTATTGGATGTAAGAGTGTTTAATTTCAATTTGAACTAAAATGCCCTTACATTTTGTTTGTGATTTTTCAAAGAGTGTTCAAGAAATTGAAGTGGGAAAATTATGATTTTTGGACAGACACATAATGTACGTCGCTACAAGCATGTGGTATTTTTCGGAGCTTGGATGAATTTTTAAGTAATTTACAAAATTGGACCAATCGTGAAGTGACATGTGGCAGCATAATTTTGTTTTAAAAAAAATAATAAAAAAGCTACTGTTAACTATTGTTTACATGTGAAGGCTGTCGAGACTTTTTCTTCTTTTTACTTTTGGACTAGGGATTGCAGATACCGTGACACCAGAGTTTGATCGTGGTGTTGGTGAGGCTTGTGTTTGGCTTGGATACTAGGTTGGGGGACTCATTCTCAAACTTGTATTTTGTGTATGTATGATATAGTACGTATTGTTGTGTGCGAAAACTGCACTGGTTGTGATTGCCATATATGCTTGGTTTTATGGATGCTTGACTTTGGTTCTCCAAAGTTCGAAGGGTATACGCCTACAGACATTATCCTCGATGACCAGAGGGTGATGGGGACATAGCGACTTCCCTGGGTTTCGATCCCCTAAACCTTCAGAGGGGTTATGCAAACAGACTTTACCAATACCCTACAGGTGAGGTATAGTCGACGAGATGTAACTGTAGAAATGGAGACTCTCGCTACTGTATCAAGTGAGTTGGATTTATTTATGAATTCTGGTAAGGGTAGTTGGCCTATAAGGATTGGTTGTCAGACAAGCAGATACATGAGCTTCGAAAAATGTTTGCGAAAGTGCTTGAGCATGCCAATTTGTTTTGGATCCACAATAAATGGATACGGTTTGTGTTTGTGCATATTCTTTCACTGTTTTCTAAATCAAATCGAGATCTCAAATCAAGATCTCATTATATTATTATTATTATTATGTTTGTTATTTATTTTCAAACCTGATCGGGAGCCCCCTGCTAGGCAAATGAATGTATATGATGCTTACCCCTACTTTTGTTGTAGATTCCACTCATGGGTGATGTCTTGGTGTGACTTCCTCACTTGTCAACATCTAAGTCGTGTCTCACATCGTTTGTCAAGTTGTGAACCATTATTCCTCACAGCTGATCATAATTTACTTCAGCTGTATAAATATAAATTCTGGATGGTTGTTATATTTTCATTATTGGATAGTAAAATAACTTCTGAGGTTGTTGGTACTATTCCTTGACCTTTGGGGTTGGTTTAATTCTCAAATATACATTTTGAATAATATTTTATTTACTTTTTCACTGTAGTTAAAAACTCTGATCCAACCCATTTTAATTTAAATAAAAGGGCTTAGCATATTTCGAGAATTCTGGGAGTATAACCCTTGGAATTTATGTATTATATTTTTGGAATCCTCGAGGTACATGTCGATGTCACGTGTCCTGACTTTAGGGCGTGACAACTGAAAATTGAATGAAGCCTGGATGTTGTCAAAAGTTGAAATGGGGTCAAAAGCTGCCATGCAATATTATTAGCTTTCAGCTATCATTTAGCAGTTTATCTGGTTTTGATCATAATAAATATGTGATAGCACTGTTTTGATATTTTCGACCAATTACGATATGCCATACATAATAACTTTTCCACTTGGTATGCTGTGATTGGCCAGAATAGCAAAACAATAATATCCTTGTTTCACCCAAGTTTTTCTACTCTAGGCCTTTCAATGGTCTAGGTTTTTGGGGTGTATATAATTATTGAACCCTTTGACAATATCTCCTTGCTTGAAGACTTGAAGAAAAATAACCCAAATGAAATCTGAGCTAGAGTTTGTAGTTAAACATAAACAAAGGCCCCAATCTGCTATTTATCAACTTGGTTTTGTTTTTTTGCTAGTGCTATAGTAATACTATAGCCCATTGATTGGGGATGGTAGTCAAATTTGAGTTCACATGACACCCATCAGATTTGTCTTGTTTATTGTGGAATACTTTGGAATTCTGTTTTGTACGCTAAATGCTGGCCATGAGTCTCTACCTTAGACAAAAGGACAGCTTTCAAGCGTGCATCCGAAGATCGATGTATACTAAACCACGTGCATGGCACATATCTAATTCTAAATTTTGGCGACTTGAATCAATAATAGTTGTAGTTTTTGATAGCTAAATACCATTTCACATATGGCTTGTTTGGGAGTTTGGATGGGAAGTTTTTCATGCGCACTCACACACTAACAAGGTTACAAGGTGCCACGACATTTCGAACCTTAGATCATTTGTCTATAAATCAATATATTTTTTCATTGGGCTAGACGCCATTGGCATCCTTATCAGTACTTATAGTTACTATCTTTGCCAAATGTCAGCAAAAATGCTTTCAACCCACTTAGAGAACATCGCCAAACTAGCCCAAAAAAATCTATTATCTTTACATGAGTGAATATTTTCAGATTTCGTCCCACTTGCACACCCATAGACATCGGGCCTTGTTGATTTTGGTTACGATAATAGGCTCTCTCTTTTTGGTATCTATCTAAGATTTTCAAAGACATGCTTGAAATTTGAATTTTTCAAAATGTGTAGTCTCGGAGTTTTGTGTTGTAGTTGTGCTTTTTATTATTTTAGAAACTGTTTTCTGTATTTATTTATTTATTTATTTAAATCGTATTCATCAATTGTATTTGAAGTCATGAGATTGGAATTCGGGAAGTCAAAATTAAATAGAGATCGAACGAGTGCCACTAGAAATCTGATGAGCCAAAACCTTCTCTGTAGCTCTATCTTCTGTTTGGTTCCCGAAAAAATCAGAGAAAAAGGGAAAGAAAATTGTTAAGTTGAGTGTTTTTAATAACTGACGACTTGATTGACAACATGTGAGAATAACTAGCCAATTGAAGGTGTGAACAAGAATGCTTTTTTTTATGCCGTCCAGTGTGTGAACATGAGTGCATTTCATTCATGTTGATTGAGATGCAGCGTTTTTTCATGAATTTTTCTTTTTTTCTTTTTTTGGAGTTGTTACTTGATTTATTTGGTTGTTTGTTTTGTTTACGTGGATTCCTTGTTCACCTAGCCTTCAATGTAAATATACGTCTGTATCAATTAATTAATAAATTACTTTTCTAAATGGTAAATTGTGATTGAAGCTAATGATTTAGAGACAAACAAAGAAGTGGAAGAGCAATGATATGGGCTGCATCGAGGGAGCCCAATAACCTCCAAGTTAGACAAACTAACAATATGGGATAATATTTTATATCCGTTAATGAAAATCCAGTGAAATTTATACAAACAAAGACTCTAACTTAAAGCATATAAATAGGAAAACACTGCAAAGACTCACTAGTGCTGTGGTTTGGAGCATTTGCTCTCTCAGAAAAGGTCATGAGTTTGAGTTCTAATATCCGTGTAGTGTGTGTGAGTTTAATATGTTATCACCCCTCTCATTAAGAAAGGTCCTAAAAAAAGGAAAACACTTTCCTAAGACATCTCCACTATGGAAGAGACCAACTTGACTCCTACATACAATTACTCAACAACTTAAGACATGCAGACTCTATAACTATTCAGCAAACACGCAACCATTACTTTAAGCACTTCCACTAAGTACGTGATATTCCTTCCAATCAAAAGTAATTAGTGAAATAGTTTCAGTGGTATATAGAGAACCGTTGTTGTTGTAGTCAAAGACATCGAAAATCAACATAATTTGGATGAAAGTCAACAACTGAAGCTCATAAGACATCATTTTGGTTGAAGAAGCGGATGTTGTTTCTGTAAAAGGCATTGGTTCCTGACGCCTTTTACACCGTCCCTTTAGTATCACCTTAAGAGGCATCGATATGTAATAGTAAAATGCATCATTTTTCCCTGATGCCTATTAGCCTTTTTTTTGTTGTAGTGATGAGATAAATTAGAAAAATTAATAAGGGTATTATGGGTGTTTCATAAAAATTCATCAAACTCCACCGGTTCCTTATTTGGTTTCCATGAAAGCGGAAATCATAATCATCCCTTTAGCCGCTTCTTCAAATCACGTACGTTGAGTGGCACACATTCCACTTTCTTTACCAAACTAGATAAGAAAGTACAATTTTCAATACAAGCGATTCTAGCCCCGAAAACGCAAACTACCACTTAGTTTTATTATTTATAAAAATGATGCCTAATATACTAACAACATTTGTTTTCACTTTTGTGGATGCAAAATGCGTTGTTTTCTAAAGTAAAATTTGTCACAGTGGTACCATTATATTTATTAATTTGGTAATTAAGCTAAGGATTAATCAATGATATTCCTCCTGATCTTGGTTATCTCATATAAAGTGGGCATATTATACTTCCTTCAGAAGGCTGAAGAAGTAGATTCGTCCAAACAAAATACAGGTAATATTATATTATATGTTGACGGAAACAGAATCCAAACTCTATCACGAAGGAAACAATTCACATTCGAACTTATCAAGAAATAATATATATTCACATTCGTATTTATCATATATATATTCACATTCGGAGGGCATATAAGTAAGTTCGGGAAACAAGCTAGTGATATTCTTCCCTTCACTTTTTTGTTGGTCGAACCCTTCCCTTCACTTTGATAATCTATATAAGTGAGCAAATGATAAGGCTAATTAACTCGTAACCTAGCTAGCTCTTCCCTTTTGAGTATATCCCTCTCCAATCCAACTGATATCCCATAATGGAGATGTCTTACCTTCTCGGTTACTTGAATGGGTTGGAACGGAACCGTGTTGAACCGAACCGTGTTTTTATATTGCGGCCTCCTCCTCGTTGGGATTGGTATAGTAATCCCAATCCCAACTATAATCATAATCCCAATCCCAGCTATAATTATAATCCCAATCCCAATCCCAATCCCAGCTATAATTATAATCACAATCCCAATAATTATTATAATCCCAATCCCAATCCCAATTATAATCCTAATCCCAATCACAAATGTCCTAAGCCCAAGCTCAAATCGAATCGTAAGCCCAAGAGATGCAGCTCAACAAGCAACAAGGGTAGCAAAAATCCTGCTGGTGCTGGGAAGAAAGTTGTCGTTATCCGCGGAAGATCACTAGAGAATGAAACTAGGGGAGGCGGAACTCAAGGACGAGCACTAGTGAATGAATTCACTTGGGAGGAGAAGCAGAGAACTCAAGGACGAGCACTAGTGACTTCGGAGGAGAAGCAGGGATTGAACAACTACGGGAATAAGCACCACGAGGACAATGATGAGGACGACGACGAGGACGAGGACGAGGACGAGGACGAGGACGAGGACGAGGACGAGGGCGAGGAAGAGGACGAGGACGAGGGCGAGGAAGAGGGCGAGGACGAGGACGAGGACGAGGACGAGGATGATGAGGACGAGGACGATGAGGACGAGGACAACGAAATCAAGGGGAACCAGGGCAAGGTGAAAGGATTTAATACACTTGGCAACCGGTACTACTGAGCAGGAAGAAGAGTGCCTGCCTGTGAACCAAACCAATGACAATCTCTCGCTGCATGCCTGCATGCAGTTGAATATGTATGTACTAAAATATCTACACTAAAATAAGAGTTGATGCTGCATCTGACGCTCAACTAGGGTTCATAGATAGGCCCTTATAATTCTTATATTCTAGACATAAATTCATCTATTTTTTGGAATTGCGTCCGTCGTGATGCTAACAGTGCTGCTGATGCCGCTGACAAGCTAGCCAAAAGGAGGTTGTGCTTTTGCAATTGGGTTAATACACCCCCACCTCTCCCTGGTTTCTATCTTGTCGAGAGATGGTCTCCCAGCCCCTCCTTGAGTCTTTACCTGGCTTGGTAGATATGGTCTGGGCTCTTTGCTGTTGGTGTCTGCTGGTTTGTGGTTTAGTTTGTTTGTCCCTTGTTGCTCTTTTGCCTGCCTTTATCGGGCTTTAATGAAATCTCTTTCGATTATAAAAAAAGAAAAAGAAAAAAGAACTCATCTATTTTTCAACCATTATAAAAAACTCAATTTTGAATGTAGTTAATAGCTGTCCTAATTCTAGTGCTTAAAATCACTACTACAAAAATCGCAATATACGACGGTAATCCACCGTCGTGTATCCGGTTTTTCAACCATCGTGAAATTGACCGACATCTTTTGATGCATAAAACCACGACAGTAAATCCCCGTCGTCTATTATCTGTAAAGATGACGCTTTTACTCAAAACCATCGTTTATTAGATGTAAAGATGACAAGTTTTTTGAAAGAATTGTCGTCTATTAGATGTAAAGACAACCGTTTTTTGAAAGAACTGTCATTTTGTTATATAGACGACGGTTTGTGACAAAAAATTGTCGTTGTTTAGAGGTAAGGACGACATTTATGTTAAAATCGTCGTTAATTGTAGGCAAAATACGACGGTTTTTATTTAAAACCGTCCTTCATTGTATAGAAAGATGATGGTTTTTTGTTAAAAAATGTATGTAAAGACAACGGTTTTTGGTTAAAAATCATCGTTGATTGTATGTAAAGACGATGGTTTTTAAAATAAAACCATCGTTGATTACAATTTAGTTTAGTTGTCTAATAAATTCCTAGGTTGTTATATTTTAGTTTTTTTGTTTCCTATGATTCTATACAACTATTTTTACTAGAAAACTAACCATAATGCTTTATTAATTAATATATACACTCAAAAATTGTTTCTTTCATAAAACTTGAAGTTTCAATAGTTATTACATAGTTAACCAATCTTTATTCCTACCACATATACTTCCTACCACATCGATAACATTAATCTAAATAATGAAGCTACATGTGATTGCTCACAAATTCTACCAATTCGATATGAACATCAATTTGTTCTTGAGTGTGTGAGTTAGCTCTGTCTTCTTGCACATTTTCCATGTTGTATTCCCCTCCCCTGTAGCAGTATCAGCAACAACATGTCTCTTCTTGGCTTGTAAAATTAACATCAATCTTTACAAATGAAGCTTGAGACAGTGTGGTTTAAAGAACAGTTTGTTTAAGCACCTGCCACATCAGATACAAACTTAATAATGGTATTTTAGTTATTCACTGATTTTATGTTTAATTCGATTTAAACAGGTTGTTTCACAATCAGATTTAACCAGTTTGCAAAAAGCCTTACAAGCTTGCATATTACTACAGCCTAGACATAAAAGCAACAAGAGGTTATGAGAAGCACCTTTAGGTACTTCAGAACTTCCGAGTGCCTTATTCGAAGGGCGAATTCCCTATTGCTCAGAGATATTTTGGATACGTTTGGCAACTCTTGCGCTCTATTCTGCAACCAACTTTGCACCTAAGACAATTGCAACAGAGTAGGGCTCTAAAAATGATTAATCAAGGACACCTTATGGTAACAATAGTAACAAGAATATCATGGTATTATACTGCAATAAAAGTAAAGGAAGAGAGAGTGAATGAAATGTGCAACCTCCGTCCATTTCACAATCGGTTTCCTAGCATGACCGGCGAAGTGACTGCATAAGCATAAGAAGCCAAAGCAAGACTTAGAGTAGGGACAAAAATTTCTCCGAAAGAAGAATCAGCTATTATACTGCAATAAAAGTAAAGGAAGAGAGAGTGAATGAAATGTGCAACCTCCGTCCATTTCACAATCGGTTTCCTAGCACGACCGGCGAAGTGACTGCATAAGCATAAGAAGCCAAAGCAAGACTTAGAGTAGGGACAAAAATTTCTCCGAAAGAAGAATCAGTACAATATGAAATTCTAACCATGAAATGAAAGTAACTTAAAACATTTTGCAATATTTTGGCAAAATTGTCGCTCCAACACTTGTTCTCCTAATTCCCTTAGCAATCTCTTCATTTTTTGAGTCTCTTCATAATGGTGGTGGAAAAAACCAAATAAAAGCAAAGCGCAATTAATTTCAACAGATAATCTCTCCATTTTCTAAGTCTGTTCAACAGACATTTATTATTTACAAAACCAATAAAGACCAAGAAGAAAAAATTGAGAAAAACTTGAAAAAGCCAGTCAATCTAGCTTTGCAAACCGACCTTGTATGCTCAATTGTTTCATAAAGTTGTTATATGTCCCCCAATCTCAGTAACTAGTTGATCCCAAGCTTCCTCCTCATCTCCTGAGAACCAAATCAGAAAATCCAAAAAGAAATCAGAAAAAAAAAAAAAAATGTAAACAAACTAGACAAATCAAGAGAGATAGAAAATCTGAAATCAGGGAGACAAAGAACATACCAGAAACGCAAATAGACTAATCTCGAATTCACTAGCAAGATATAGAAGGGTATTGAGAGATTAGGTGACTTTCAAATCAAACCTTTCGAAAGGTAGGAGGCTAGGGTTTCGATCTACACAATTATTAGGAGATTAGGACAATTATAGGGCTTGGACCTTCAGAGGAGTGCGAGGGACAAGTGCCTGAAGTGGTGACGACAACCATGGGCCTGAAGTGGCTTGTGCGATAGATTTCGACGAGTCTTTCTAGATCGCTACTACGAAATTGGAGAGTTAACTGGACCAAGCCGCTAAGGTTGATGAGAGATGTTGTGAATTTTATATAACCTGAAAAATGGAGATTATAAAGATTAGTCTAAACACAAATTGTACTTGCAGGTGCACAAGGTCAATCGTAATATAGTATGGCAAATACGAGGTCATTCCCACGAGGATTGAGTTCAACTTCCAATTAGTCTAACCTAATTTACTTCACAAAATACTTTAACTACTCTAATTATATAAACAAGAAATTAAACACTTAGCATACTCACGTAAACACAAAAGGAGTTTTTGAAAGAATGATTTAATTACAACGAAATTAAAAGACAAAATAAGTAGAAAGTCACGAAACACAAGGATGAGAAATTCAAATTGATAAAAGCACTAGGACAATGAATTCGCCACTAGTAATCCGATTTAGCCTCTTATTCACCTAACCATTTGATGTCGCCGCTTAGTTTTCCTTTTTCATGGGATTAATCCCTGCTTGGGGTTCGATTTGCCTCTAGCCACAAAATTCTTCCAACAGCTTTCGAACCCTTACCATTGAGGCACTAGGTAGCTCGCCAGCTAGAGGTGTGGTAGTTTGTCAACCGCACCACACCTTGTGGTTAAATTTCCTCTCCCTGTTTGATAAAGATAAAAGAAGAATAAGAATTGTAGATATATTTAACCGATATAACTCTAGTCCATCCCCTTTTGGAGAATCACAACCCAACCAGATTAGTTAATCAAACTTACGAGTTGTTAACAAAGAGAAGGAGCAAAGCATCATGATAAAGTAAATGGATGAAGTGGTTATTTAGGTCTCATTTGACTTTGTACCTCAATTTAATACCACATGATATATACGATAAGCGATGCATATACAATCAACATCTAAGAAGATAAAATTTTGTAATTGGCCATCACTAGTACAAGTTATAGTTCATACTGTTGAAGTGAGTCTCCTAATTAATCAAGGAGATTTATTTCCTTGATTAATTAAGGGATTTACTTTCCTATTTTATATAATTGATAAATCTTTGTATAATTAGGAGATACTTTCCTAATTCTTTCCTGTATCTAATTCCTTGTATAGCACCCTTGTAAACTCTTTATATATACCTCCTTATGGAGAAGAATAAAATTATCTGAACATATTGAAAACCCGTATTCATATTTTAGCACATACATCATATAGTAAATCTGTAGTACACAAATGTGGTATTTCTTGGCCCCATTCGAAAACGATTAATAGGAATCTGGTCAAGCACACGCAAAAGCTGAAATGCTCCATTTATCAACCTTCTGGTCTTTAAAGGCTTTGGAAAGAACAAGGTTCTTATCTGAATTCGGAAAATTCCTAAAGCACTACTTCTGGTAGTGAAACAAGGTTCTTATCCATTTGAACAGGGCTGTTCCTTATATGCACTACTGATGGTAGTGAAACAAGGTTCTTATCTTATAGGGTTCTTCCTTAAAGCACTAGTTATGGTAGTGAAACAAGGTTCTTATCCCAATTGAACAAGGAAATACGTGCACTTGTTGACAACACTGACTCGGAAAGAACCTGGGAATATTATATTATATTATATTATATGTTGACTGAATCCCAACTGTAGCACTAAGGAAAACAATTCACATTCGGAAGGAGGGCATAGGTAGCTTCGCAAACAAGCTGTCATTATTATCATTATTAGCTAGTATTCTTCCCTTCCCTTTTTTGTTTTTTGAAAAGAAATTCTTCCCTTCACTTTGATCATCTATATAAGTGGGCAAATGAAGGCAAACTAATTCATATATAACCTAGCTATCTCTTACCTTTCGAGCCTCTCCCCCTCTCCAACTGATCCCACAATGGTAAATCCCTCCGCGCGTTCTGCTATCTTGAATGCCCAAATGAATCGCCCACAGCCACCTATTCCTCTTGGTCACTATGATGATTATAGTTATTATCTCAATCCCAATGGACCCATACCCCCATGCAACAACGGTGGCGGATATCCTGCCGCTCTTTATCCCTATGATGATTATAATTATTATCCCAGTCCCAGTTGTAATTCTATTTACAATCCCAATACCAAACCCAATAGACCCAGACCTCCAAGCAACAACGGTGGCGGATATCCTGCTTGTATTAATCCCAACCGCCAACCTTTCACTATCGAAGAGTATGAAATTAGCCTTGAGCAGCAAGTATTTA